AAGGGGGATGTAGAGCCCCCTATCTGACTCGAAGGAAGCATTATGGCAGAAAAACGGTGGCTTCTTGCACAAAAAGATCTAAGAGACATTTCTAATTACAGTCAATTATGTAAAGTTAATAAAGCATTATTCATAGCCTCTGGGAAATAAAGGATTTTAGTGTTATCAGTGTTTGTGGCATAATTAGTCCGCTTTTTGCACTCGCCCTTTCGCTCTGTTCTTCTGCTGTAATGAGAATACAGCATTAAAAGAATCCAAACCTTCACCTGATGTGTCCTTTCGTCTTCATGGCTGACCGTGCACTTTCACATGTGTTGAGCTGCAAATCCAGGAGAATAGAGAGAAAGATGCATGTAGAATCTTAAATCTGTCACGCTATTCCAGCCACGTTCGCCGCTGCCACACTCCAAAGCTCCGACGCCAAAACCAAGGTCACCACTAAAAAACAGCGACGCCAAGATTTGCAGCGACGTCAAGCGAGATTTAGATGATTGCGAGAGGCAATTACTGCGGCAGCGTGCAGAGCCCTGTTCACACAAGACGCCAACACAACCTGATCTGGATTATGATGCTCTCATTTCCATAAAGCTGCCATCATCACAGCGAGGGGCTCTGGCGACTGATTTTAAACCCCAGGATTTTGTGACAATTAATAAAGCTGCCAGGTCATAGCGTCAATCAAATGCAGTCATAACTTTGGGGTTGTTTGAAATCCAACTCCAAGTTTTCAGCAACTTCACAAGCTCAGATGACTTTATGCAACACTTTTATCTCCCAGAGCAAGTGTGCGTCACCGAAGTGTCTCTCGCTCGATGAGAGTCTGATCAATCATTATCAAGAAGCGTTTCATTCTGACATTGACAGGTGGGTTGACCTTGCTTTGCTGAGGCAACGCTTGTTCTACGTTTACACAGCTACAGCCTCCACTTCCCTGTCCTTCACAAGTACAATACTCAACAAGAAATGGAAAGGCAAAAAGTAGATCCATGATTGACTGCAGCCAGGAGCAAAAAGTGGTTTGATAAAAATGATGACAGTTCCCCTCAGGCCTAAGACAACCTCAGCACCACACAAACTGTGTCGCTAAAAAACTGACAATGAATGACATGTACTTTGGTTTTGCTCAAAGGAAAAGAACAATTATAAAAGGGAACACTGGCTTTTGGCAATAAGGCTAAGAAATAATTGTCACGAACTGGCTCAAGGTTAAAAATGTCCACACATGTTTCAAAATATACAAAAACATTCCAGGTGAGAGAGCTCCAATGACTTCCTGACAGCACTTTTGAATGTGGCCGGTCCCGCCCATCTCCAGGTGCTGCCGGTCCCAATCAGCTCTCCCATTGGCTGGATCCTTAAAGGAGGAGAAAGCCAGCAGCAACAAACTCTGTCTTGGCACTGATCTGGGAGATATTTATTCTTACTAAAACCCGGGACCCTTTACACAAGAAGGGTACGTGATAAAAAACCATTTCTCTTGTTTTTCACCGCGGTAAAGTGGCCCGGATTTTTGCCGTTGCGGTAAAGTGGTCCGCACATTAAATATCGGGTTGCTCCTTTGCGCTGTTACTTACGGTGAACGTGGAACAGGACGCCACAAGGATGAGCAACCAAAATGCAATATTAACCGCTTATTAGGTTAATAAATGTTGTATTATATGACTATTTTTAATTTATGCAAATATTTTCCTAATCGTGTTTTTAGTTTTCTGGTCTGCAACGAAGTTGTCAATCTCATCTTGTCTGTTAGTTATTTTTTCTTCGTTGATTTCTGTAATTTCTTCCTCTGGCTCGTCAAACTTGTCCGGATAAAAGAATTCACTGAAGAATGCTTCCAGTTGTCGCCCATTATTTCTTTTTTACCGAGGAAACTCAGGAAAGAAATCAATTGTGATACGCGCTGTGGACTGATTGTCATGGTAACGGCCCGAGGAAAGATATCAAATGTGATACGCGCTGTTCGGACCAATTGTCATGGTAACGGTCTGAGATGGGAAAATATCAGACCGGTAATCAGCCAATCAGAGCGCGCGTACGGTCCAAGTCATATAATAATTAAAATTCATCATCACAGTGAACAAGTGCGCAGTGAAAGTATCTATCTAACTTTCTAGCATCCAGGTATCTTTCTAAGCTGTTTTGCCAACCAGTCACGTGACCGGCGCTGAAAAACTATGAACAACAACGTCACTCCAAGATCCTCCTATACTGGGGTCGTCAGATGTATATTATATTGTAATAAAATAGGGAAAGGGAATGGATGAAGCAACAATCTTATATTAATCCAATCCCCTCCAAAAATGTATTTGTAGTGTCTAACAAATGATTCTGTGAAAAGACTGGATTTGTCAAATAAATCTGATCCATTGTCTAATAATGTCTAATATTTTCATTCAAGACAGATGTTTTTTTTACAGTACAGCTGAAGCAGAAAAGCTCGTCTCTCTGTTTTTACGGTGTCGCAGCTGATCTCAGATACGTGCCCGTGGTAGAAGCCTGGAGCAGCACAAGAACGATGACGCGCCGTGCAGCCAGGTGCTCAGCCCAAATATGACCCAAGTCTATTTTTGCTGCAGTGACACCATTTTTAGTCCCATCAAAACCCTAACCCAACCTTACTCGCACAATAAAAATATTGAAATGTTAAAATAGATTTGCGTTACGGCGTTAGTGCGTTTACTGACAGCACTAATACACAAACAAATTTTTTTAAGTATTATATACATATTCTGTTTAATATATTATTTACTTTTGAAAGCCATTGTTAGACCTTAACTGAGCATATAACTATACTCTATTTCAAAAAGTGTGGAAAATAGCTGCTACGAATAGCTATTTGGAATAATGGTCCTATTTGTTCAAACTTTAAGTGGGCTATTTCAGTGAAAAGAACAATATTACTGGAGCAGAGCATTAGCCGTCTCCTCGAGCACACAAACAGCCCGTGTATTCTTCCAAAGCGCCTCTTACAGTCCGAGAGCTTCCTCCAGAAAAGGGAACGCATTATGTGTGCTGCATTGGACATCCACTGACCTGGCACTCGTTAATGTTACCCATCAATTTTGCCACTGAAACAATGTTCACATTCATCCATTTGTTAACAACACGGCTTGCATGTGCAGATAGTTCGAAGGCAGCAGAAAAATGACATGCACCACAACCGCTGCGGTACCGGCAGAATAATAAATCAATCTTGGTGGCTGAACAAAATGGTGTTTGTTGCTGCCAAAGCCTGAATATCCGTTTTAAATCCAATCATACATCTGCTGTGATTTTCTAACGCTTTGAGCTCAGCCTAGATTAGCCACAAGTTAATCACAGGCCTACCGCTTTCAACAAGGCTTTGGAGAGAGGAGCTGTTGCACGTTTTCTGAAAGTTTGTCTGGGTAATAACATGGGCGTCTGTTCTTGTGGACCTGTCTAAAGGGATTTACTCTGGAGTCCGCCTCCTGTGATGCAGCCCGGCTCTGATAATGGGATTGCATCGTCAGTGTGCCTCAAAGAAAACACAACTGTTTTAAGGTTCTGCATTTGCTTATACTGACGATAAAGTAGTGATATGTAAGATTTTCATGTCGAGTCGTCATTAAAGGGCCCTAATCTAATATAAACCATGCTCTTTTCCAATACTTCTTTACTGATGACAGTAGTTCAGAGATATTTTCAGGTTTACAGTTTGCAAAGAATGGGAGAATAATCAAAATACAGGTAAAATACAACACCTTTAATCACACAGTATATACAAAATAAGCAACACACAATTATTTACATCTGACTAATGACTACAGACTTGAGACTACAGTAGTGAGTTCCAGGCCCTCACAAACAGAGGTAGAGAGTTCCAGGCCCTCACAGACAGAGGTAGAGAGTTCCAGGCCCTCACAGACAGAGGTATAGAGTTCCAGGCCCTCACAGACAGAGGTAGTGAGTTCCAGGCCCGTTCATTACGATGTCCCGCCCTCCACCGTTTCAACAATCAGAAACTCTGTGATCCGGGCGCCAGAACTCACCGCGTGGAGCTAATCTCACTGGTAAAGTACCATGTGGCGCAGAACTAAAAAAGGTCTCGTTATGATTCTCAAATCATTAACGAAAAAACAAGGAATAAAACCAGGATTTCTATCTTTGTGAAAAAGGTGTTGGTTATAGATTTGTTGTTGACAAAACTCTTGTCTATTCAGCTGTTATGGTCCCAGTTGGATTCATCTTTCATATTTTTTTTCAGTGTTTTTCATTTTAAATCCAAGAGATGAGTTTTCAATATCTTACTAAGACCACACTTCTCAAAGCAATCAGCAAAGGAGAGGCCTGAGTAACACAGTTTCTCAGATGTAGATCACGGGGATGAAGTCCTCCAACACATGAGCAGAGGATGCATTAGTTTAATTCCCTCGCTCTGAACATAACTCTACAAACACGGCTTCTGCCAACAGTTGTGTAGACGACAGATGCTGGAGCTGGGACCGCGTCCAAACAGAGGAAATCTGTTGTTCAATATTTGTGGTCAAAGTTACATTCAGCGATTGATACTGTTGTTCCATTTCAGGCACTTTTATACTGTATTGATCCCACTTAATGTGTCCTCTGCATTTTTCATCATCATCATCATCATCAAACTATCAGTCCAGGATAAGACAAACACACACAAAAACACATAACAACACAAATAATCACAACCATAAGCCTCACTGCTCAGAGCAAACAGCTGCACCAGTGTCTCCACAGATCTGACTGGTACCGTGTGGAACCGAAATGACAGTAATGACAATAATATTCTGTCTTTCATTGAGCTGACAGATAAAATTGTACATCAGACTCGAATGGCCTGAAATTCTAGCGAACACAAACAAAGTACCTGCACTTTCCCATCGTGGCCTTTTCAATAAAATCCTCAAGCAGTCGTTGTAGGCCACGTTGAGTTTGCGGACGTTTGCTTTTTTGTATTGAGTCCATAAGTGCCTTGTACAATGACGTACAGTATGCTTTAAAAAGTGTCTTTTTCACCTGCGCTGCACAGACACCAAACCAGCGCCTGAGCACGTTCGCCTGAGCGTGTTCGCCTGAGCGTGTTCGCCTGAGCGTGTTCGCCTGAGCGTGTTCGCCTGAGCGTGTTCGCCTGAGCGTGTTCGCCTGAGCACGTTCGCTTGAGCACGTTCGCCTGAGCTCGTTCGCCTGAGCACGTTCGCCTGAGCACGTTCGCCTGAGCACGTTCGCCTGAGCACGTTCGCCTGAGCTCGTTCGCCTGAGCACGTTCGCCTGAGCACTTTCGCCTGAGCACGTTCGCCTGAGCACGTTCGCCTGAGCACTTTCGCCTGAGCACGTTCGCCTGAGCACTTTCGCCTGAGCACGTTCGCCTGAGCACGTTCGCCTGAGCACGTTCGCCTGAGCACGTTCGCCTGAGCACGTTCGCCTGAGCACTTTCGCCTGAGCACGTTCGCCTGAGCACGTTCGCCTGAGCACGTTCGCCTGAGCGTGTTCGCCTGAGCGTGTTCGCCTGAGCACGTTCGCTTGAGCACGTTCGCCTGAGCTTGTTCGCCTGAGCTCGTTCGCCTGAGCACGTTCGCCTGAGCACGTTCGCCTGAGCACGTTCGCCTGAGCACGTTCGCCTGAGCACGTTCGCCTGAGCTTGTTCGCCTGAGCTCGTTCGCCTGAGCACGTTCGCCTGAGCACGTTCGCCTGAGCACGTTCGCCTGAGCACTTTCGCCTGAGCACTTTCGCCTGAGCACTTTCGCCTGAGCACGTTCGCCTGAGCACGTTCGCCTGAGCACGTTCGCCTGAGCACGTTCGCCTGAGCACGTTCGCCTGAGCTCGTTTGCCTGAGCACGTTCGCCTGAGCACTTTCGCCTGAGCACGTTCGCCTGAGCACGTTCGCCTGAGCACTTTCGCCTGAGCACGTTCGCCTGAGCACTTTCGCCTGAGCACGTTCGCCTGAGCACGTTCGCCTGAGCACTTTCGCCTGAGCACGTTCGCCTGAGCACGTTCGCCTGAGCACTTTCGCCTGAGCACGTTCGCCTGAGCACGTTCGCCTGAGCACGTTCGCCTGAGCACGTTCGCCTGAGCTCGTTTGCCTGAGCACTTTCGCCTGAGCACGTTCGCCTGAGCACGTTCGCCTGAGCACTTTCGCCTGAGCACGTTCGCCTGAGCACGTTCGCCTGAGCACTTTCGCCTGAGCACTTTCGCCTGAGCACTTTCGCCTGAGCACGTTCGCCTGAGCACTTTCGCCTGAGCACGTTTGCCTGAGCACGTTCGCCTGAGCACTTTCGCCTGAGCACGTTCGCCTGAGCACGTTCGCTTGAGCACGTTCGCCTGAGCACGTTCGCCTGAGCACGTTCGCCTGAGCACTTTCGCCTGAGCACTTTCGCCTGAGCACTTTCGCCTGAGCACTTTCGCCTGAGCACTTTCGCCTGAGCACTTTCGCCTGAGCACTTTCGCCTGAGCACGTTCGCCTGAGCACTTTCGCCTGAGCACTTTCGCCTGAGCACGTTCGCCTGAGCACGTTCGCCTGAGCACGTTCGCCTGAGCACTTTCGCCTGAGCACTTTCGCCTGAGCACTTTCGCCTGAGCACTTTCGCCTGAGCACTTTCGCCTGAGCACGTTCGCCTGAGCACGTTCGCCTGAGCACGTTCGCCTGAGCACTTTCGCCTGAGCACGTTCGCCTGAGCACGTTCGCCTGAGCTCGTTCGCCTGAGCTCGTTCGCCTGAGCTCGTTCGCCTGAGCACTTTCGCCTGAGCACTTTCGCCTGAGCACTTTCGCCTGAGCACGTTCGCCTGAGCACGTTCGCCTGAGCACGTTCGCCTGAGCACGTTCGCCTGAGCACTTTCGCCTGAGCACTTTCGCCTGAGCACGTTCGCCTGAGCACGTTCGCCTGAGCACGTTCGCCTGAGCACTTTCGCCTGAGCACGTTCGCCTGAGCACGTTCGCCTGAGCTCGTTCGCCTGAGCTCGTTCGCCTGAGCTCGTTCGCCTGAGCACGTTCGCCTGAGCACGTTCGCCTGAGCACGTTCGCCTGAGCACGTTCGCCTGAGCTCGTTCGCCTGAGCTCGTTCGCCTGAGCTCGTTTGCCTGAGCACGTTCGCCTGAGCACGTTCGCCTGAGCACGTTCGCCTGAGCACGTTCGCCTGAGCTCGTTCGCCTGAGCTCGTTTGCCTGAGCACGTTCGCCTGAGCACGTTCGCCTGAGCACGTTCGCCTGAGCACGTTCGCCTGAGCTCGTTCGCCTGAGCTCGTTTGCCTGAAGCGTACATACGACATATCCTGAGAATGTCCTCATCATCAAAGTCATCACAAATAAAAAAGTATTTATATTTGGAACTTACAATTAGTTCAACACCACACAATTTAAATGGAGGAGAGTTTACATTTACATCATCTTTAGTTCTACTATTGTCATATTGATAAAGTAGAAAAGGGGGCGGGGTTACATAAATAATATACTTCTTACCACTCTTTCGGACATGATTGTTTATTAGGCCCGAGCCCTGAACGGGGTAATGGCCTATTGCTTTCATGGTGAATGCAAAGTGGCAGTGAGTGACGGACGCGTCAAATGGAAAAATGAACAGCAATAATTTTCATACATGTCGGTTGGAAAGCGACTCCTCCTCGGCCGTTTCACCGATTTGACTCAAAATCACTCCACATCATCTCAACACATGTACCATCAAAATGACCAAAGGGAATTTTGATCAGTGAAACATTGTTTGAGCAGCGGAGCGGCAAAATGTGAGTTTTTTTGGCCGTTTTTGTCAACAATAAATTTGCTCTCGTTTGCACAAACAAAGTCTGATTTACACAAAACTTGAATTATTGTTGAACTCTAGGGTTTAGGTCATGTGAAAGTTAAATATTTCAAATTGGCTCATTAGCGCCCCCTACGGACTGAGGCAAAGTTTTACATGGGGAGCCAAACCAACTCAACTGATCATATTAATTACAATTTCACAAACATTTTTCTATGGCTACGGGAACAAATCATGACACGGCGGCGCCACCTCTAATACGCAGGCTGTTGTGGAGCGGCGCGTGCGTCGTGTCACGGGGCGGCGTGGTGCGGGGAGTCGCGCGGTGTGGCGAGGAGCGTTTAATTTAATTTAATCCTTGCGGGAACCAATTGTACCTACATCGTAGGAAGAAAGAAAGCTCTAAAGGAGAAGGCAGAGGTAAAGACTCACTCATTCAATCATTCATTCATTCATTCATTCATTCATTCATTTGACCCATCCTGCAGTGCCACTCGGGAAAGTTGGCAGACATTATATATAGTCCATGTTTTTTTGGTAGGGGAAACCAAAAACCTATGCAGACATGGAAAGAACATGCAAACTCCCCTCAGAAAGGCACAGATCTGACCAGGATTCAAACCCAGGATTATCTTCACTATGAAGTGCTTAAAAAGAAATCATAAATAATCACAGCACGTTAAAAAAGAGCACACACAGACACACACACGTAATTCAAAATGAAAGCCGATGGTCCGTGATGCATTCAAAGGCAGTGGGAGTGTAGGACAGATGCCCAGGGCAGAGCATCAGAGCCCGGACTGCAGCTCCACGCTCCGCACTGCGCCCTCACCCTCCAGGACACAATTTAACACTTCACTGTGCTGTAAAAGACCGCAGCCTGTTCGCTCTGGGCCCGTTTTCAACTCAAGAAGAGCAGAAGAATCCACCGCCCGTCGGCATGGCCCTTTAAGACTTCATTACCCACATTACAACTTCATATTCTCCTATGCTTCAAGTGACATATGGGGGAAGTCTCCACGGGGAGTTTCTTTGCTGAATCAGATGTGATGCTGCAAGAGGTGTTTTTTTTATTTTACTTAAGTTGAAAATAACATTTATTTTCATGTTTTTTTATTGTTCACACTTTCTTCAAAACCAAACTTTCAAAACACTGTTCAGGTTCACTTCAGACATCCATCCATCCATCCATTTTCTACCCTTTAATCCATTTCTGGGTCAGGGGGGTGGCAATCAGAGCTGCAGCCCAAGTCTCATAGCACCAGCCCCTCACTGACCCTCTGCAGGTGGTGAGTCCACAGGAGGACGGCTGCTCTCTGACTGAGCATAGCCTTGGGCTTTGGGCAAAGTGGGGTTAAGTGTCTTGCCCAAGGACACAACGACAGCAGTCATCTGTGGGAGTCGGTGGAGAAGGTGCAGAGGTGGGAATTGAACCCACGACCTTCAGGCCTGAAGGCCAATGCTCTACCAACTGAGCTACTGTCACCCCATCACTTCAGACATCTGTAGATAATTTCAGCTCAAATCTAACTTCGTCACGTGTAGTCATTGGGGTTCATTCAAATCGGAGTTTTCTGTTGTTAAATTTGAGGAAGTAATTGTATGTGTCAATATAATTATTTTCACATGTCAGTGTTATAATCAAAATGTTCCTTTCCTTCAAAGTGAGTTGACTGAAGTGGGTTTGTTGAAACGACTCTCACCTGAAGAGACAGAGACCTCCTTCTGCCGAGCCGTGCCCAGTGTGGACAGTGCCACCAAATAAGGCAGAAATTCAGACGGTAATCAAAAGCAAATGGTTTTATACCCCGTGGTTTACATTGGGGTGGGATAAAGTAGGTTATAAAATTAAACAAGGAACAGTACTTTGCATAATGGCAGCAAAAACAAGCTCCTAATGCTGTGCGAAGTTGTTCTTGTAAATATTATGTTTGAGAATGTGTACGTAGCTCCATGCAGATGAGACGTGTTATCATGAACATGTTATCGTTGCGGTGCATACTAGGCCCAAACCAATAGATACAAAAGAGGACAATTAATGACACTGAATTGTAAAAAGACACATAAGAAAATATCGAACCCCAAGGAGAGATGGTTGGAGCGAGAGAGAGAAACTTGAAGACTCTGGGTCTTAACAATGGGCTCTATGCACGCACCACTTCTGCGTTTCAGTTGCGCGGGGATCGGCTTGAGTTTCACTGGAGTTCAGCAGATGTTTACACAATCTTCCTAAATAATGCTCAAACAGGAATTAAACTGTGAGGATACTGGGCATTTTTTGATTGTGCTGTCATTGTGCTTTTCTAAAGTTAACTAATCTCTCTGAGTGGCCACGGTCAAAGCTGTTCCTGCAGAGAGAAAGCACAGCGACACTTTTGGGTCAGTCTCAGCTGAATGTATCAATCTCATTACTGAAAAACGTCACTACAACTCACCACAATTCCATAGCGATAGCAGAGACAGGAAGTGAACGGGCTGTTCTTTGTTAACAGGAAATGACGTCACGCCTCCCTGTCCTTATAGCCCATAGACCTGCCACATAGAGAGTTGATACACCGACCAAGAACCCAAACTAGTCCAGTCCAGCTCTCTATATACTTACTGCCTGTGAGGTCTCTCTCAGGTTCCACTGGACTGGTCAGGGGGGGTCAGCCAGTAGCAAGCCCAGCCACATGGAAAGGGAACATGCACATCAGATAAGGGGAAAATTCATACCAACAATCTTCTTTACAGTTTGTTTTGACTGGTGAAAATCTGACGTGGGTTAAAACAAGTCTGCTCCCCAAACAGTTCCCCGCTGTTTCCGCTGCATTTCAACCCGGGTCCAAAAACATGAGTCTGCAGTGAGTGTAAAAACACAGGAGGCATTTTGTCACATTTCCATCATGTGGTTCTGAGTGAAAGATGGAGGGCACAGTATTGTGGGTAATATCTGACTGACCCCAAACTGTCATGTTCCAGCCCATTATTCTGCAGCACTTTGAAACCACTCATCGTTTGCGAGAGCCCGACCCTGTGATACTTCTGTTGATAATCGTCGTTATGGCCGAGTCTGTACTGAGCTATTTAAAGGTGACAATAGGAGTTTATCGAGCCTTTCACACTCGCTGAATTGTCTGAATGATTTTTTTTTGTTTTGTTTGTTTCACTCAAAGCTGTAAAAGACTTTTCAGTACAATTCAACAATGCAGTTTGGTGTTTACACTGGAGAAATGGAATGCTGTTTTCTACAATTAACAAGATTGGTCAAATTTTCGACTGATAAAGTGACGGAGACAATCCAGTAAAAATAACTTTATTATTTGTCTTCTTCTTGTTGTGCTTGAGAACTTTTTTATAGTCAATGTTTTTTGTTTTAAATACCTAATTGGAATTGCAAAAATCTTATCCGTTTCTTTTTTTTCCACAAAACCAATCAATAGCATCTAAGTTAAAGTTGAAACACTGTTTTCCATGATTCTACTGATCTCATTATGAAGCAAAGCAAACATATTCTAACTATTACCGCACTGTGCACCACGGGTCTCCAACCTGTAGCTCCCCTGTAGCTCCCCTGTAGCTCCCAGGTAGCTCGCCAAAGCATTTAGAAGTGAACAAATGAAAAAGATTGTATTATTCATCATCATTATTTATTATTGTAGATGCACTAGTAACAAATATGTGGTGATAAATAATAAATGTAACCAATATCAGGCTTTTTCACACCAATACATCACCACATTTTTCCCAGAGCCGCTTAAAGGAGTAGCTCTCTGCCTTTATTGCCCCAGGAATGTAGCTCTCTGGGTGAAAACGGTTGGAGACACCTGCTCTCCACTCATACGGCACGGTGGCTGAGTGGTTAGCACACTCGCTTCTCAGCAAGAAGGTCCTGGGTTCGAATCCTGGTCGGAACAGGGCCTTTCTGAGTGGAGTTTGCATGTTCTCCCTGTGTCTGCGTAGGTTTCCTCCGGGTGCTCCAGTTTCCCCTACCACTAAAAACATGCCCAATAGGTCTGTGCCTCCTGTAGTGGCCGTGCTCTCTGTGTGGAGGGAGAGACTAATGCCCAAAAGATAACAATTGTAAACCGCTTTGTGACTCTGGTCTGAGAAAAGCGGTAAATAAAAAAAGATTAATTACTTACAAAATCATGGAAGAGAAATCATTACAAATGTGTTCGAACGCCTTTAGCACTATATAAACCCATACAGTATTTATTTCCACTTCTGTGTCTTCTCTTCCTACTTCTTTTCCTAGTAGTATTTTAAGAAAGTCAGTTTGCACTTCTTGCTACATAAAAATTCTAACTTGCAGCCATCAAAAGTATCCATCTGTTAAAAGTCTAATCTTCCCTTTCCTCATAACCACTGGCATAAATATTCAAATTGAGGCCAACATTTTGAGGGAAAAAGCTTTTCACTTCACAACCTAAAGTGCTGTCCCGAATGCAGATGTTTTTAAGACCAAAAAGAAAACTTTAAAGGAACGGGAACTTGATTGACCTTGTTTTTTTAAATACTGACAATTACTCCCTGCTAAAAACCTGCTCCTTAAAACCAGACATTACAATTCAGGTGAACTATTGTCAATACCCTCAATAGTCAAGACTGTAGCTTGCACGACGTCAATAATTCATCCGTTCTATATCAGAAAAACATCACACAGTTTGTGAACACGAGCGAGCGCTAAGAGGACGGTGACAAGCCGGATCAGCGCTCTCCAAACGCGACGCCGTCTCTGAGGACTTCCAGCCTGCAGCTATAGCATCCATCAAACAATGCATGTGTTACGCCGCCACATAGTCTCCGCGTAGAATGGAAACAGTAGAGCAACTCCTGGACTTCTATAAAGCCAAGAAACGTCAATATTGTGAATGTAATTTGGCTCGGACTCATTGGGCTGTGGTACGTGGGCTTTTGTAGTGTGCAGAGTAAAGCATGTATGTAGCCTCACCTCCGTGCGCTTTGGCATTTGATGGAAAGCCTAGCCCAAGACGATGCATGTTCATTACGGCGAGGAGTGATTTGATTGTAGTAATATGCCAGTGCCTCTGATGTACCTGCGTGATCGAATTAACTTGTCACTCCACGACTCGCGGGACAAAAAGCAGGCCACACTAACAGAGAAGGACAGGATGGAGCAGAGCTGGGGCCGCTTCCTCTCCCCAGTCGGCAACACTTATAGAAATGTAGGTTCTGGACCATCAGGCCTCAGCGGTGCATGCAGGGGGCCTCCTCTGACAGTCAGTCCCCACGGCCGGGTGAGCTCCTTAGTGATTCTCCACTAACACAGAGTATGCATGTGCGAGAGAGGGTTGGGAGGACGTTACTATTTATAGAAGTCACACAGTGCATACGGAAAATAGGACGGATAAAACACACTTTAGAGCTGAATACAACTTTAACTTACTTGTCTTCTGTTTTTAACACATTAATGTTACATATAGGACGGTATTGTATAATGCAGGGGTGCCCAAACTTTTTAGTTCATCAGACTTGACTTGAGCCGAAAACCTGTATGTAAAAACTCGATTGATTGGATTCTGGAATTAAAAACAGGTTATGAAACGCTCTTTTTGATTCACAGCTGCATTTTATTTGGAATGTTGTGACACAATCATAAAACGAATTAGTATGAAACAATAAAGTCAACGGCTGGATTCCAGAGGGTCTGAGATTTACAACAAGGTATAGCATGACTGTATGGGTGGAGCTGAAGTTGGTTGGATGACGCTGACAAAGTGCCTCAATGGTGACTTTGTGTTAGCAGCAGAAGGGCCACATTAGACGGCACAGAGGACCGCAGTTGGCCCGCAGGCCTGAGTTTGGACTTGCCTGATTTTTGTCTGAAATTGTGTGGGTTGAATAAATAATATTTTAATCTTAATTTGTTTTCTTTTCTTTTTGTCTTTTAATGCTGTTTTATGTCTGTATTTGTCTGTGCACACTGGAGACTTTTTGCTAATGTATTCCAATGTGGTTTTTTTACTGCAAATGGCAAATAAACTGAATCTGAATCTAATCTGATGGGACGATGAAGAGAGACATCCTCAAAACATTTGGATTAAATGTTGGGCTTCTTAACTTTAAAACCACAGAAAATGTAAACAAAACAAAACAAAAAAGGCATAGTTCCCCAATCTCAAAACAGTTGTATGTCATGTGCATGTGTGGGATAAATATTCAAATTGAGGCCAACATTTTGTGGGAAAAAGCTTTTCACTTCACAACCTGGAGTGCTGTCCCGAATGCAGATGTTTTTAAGACCCAAAATAAAACTTTAATGGAACGGGAACTTGATTGACCTTGTTTTTGTTTTGTTTTATATTGACAATTACTCCCTGCTAAAAACCTGCTCCTTAAAACCAGACATTACAATTCAGGTGAACTATTGTCAATACCCTCGATAGTCAAGACTGTAGCTTGCGTCCTGTGTTAGCGGGAAAGTGGAGAAGAGAGGACCACCCTCCCTCAGCCAATGAGATCAGCCCAACGCGTCCAATAAATATGTGGATTATAAATAAAACAAAGGCCATAACAGCGCAGGTGCGTCCTAAAAACCACACCTGTGTTTACCGCCGGCTGCACACATGACCTCAAACTGTCACATGACCTCAAACTGTCACATGACCTCAAACTGTCACATGACCTCAAACTGTCACATGACCTCAAACTGTCTCATGACCTCAAACTGTCACATGACCTCAAACTGTCACATGACCTCAAACTGTCTCATGACCTCAAACTGTCACATGACCTCAAACTGTCACATGACCTCAAACTGTCACATGACCTCAAACTGTCACATGACCTCAAACTGTCTCATGACCTCAAACTGTCACATGACCTCAAACTGTCACATGACCTCAAACTGTCTCATGACCTCAAACTGTCTCATGACCTCAAACTGTCACATGACCTCAAACTGTCACATGACCTCAAACTGTCACATGACCTCAGAACCAGAAGTTTTTGGTTTACACGGAGACAATGTGGCAGTGAAACGTCATAGTTGGATGTCAGTTTCTACCAAGCGTTCATACGAAGACTGTGTTCCAGGGGGGTGAAAACGTAAGTGTTCAGATCCAGCCCCAGAGTAGGACAACTCAGATACGCTGCACAGCGGGGGCTTTTTCACACCCACGAGAGGGAAAAGGTGTGAAATCCCCCTCTGCTCTGACCCCCGCCTCCGCGCTGCTCCCTGCACGTAAATTTGGACATGCGCAGTAGCGGAGAACAAACAAAAACAACAATGGCGGCGGTCATATCCATTTTCACAGCTGCTGTTAAAATGCAGAATGATGTTGGTGCGTTCTGAGGGTCTGGCACAGGAAGTGAATATACTGCCGAGAGGGGGGCTGGGCACGGGGCTGGGGGTCGTGTGTCGTGTTGTAAAGTTTCTCTGCCCCCTACTGGCCGGGCGCTAGAACTGCATCGTTTTTCAACCTCATGTGAACGCTGAGAAATTTGCATTAGGAGCCTGGTCGTTTCTGTTAATAGCCTGGAAACGTCTGCGCAGCGTCTCAGTATAAACAGGGCCTTTGATTCATAATTTTATGCAAATCCTGAGGTCAACGCTGACTTTCTGCACCGCGCCTCAAGCAACAATTCAAAAAAAGAATAACAGCTTTGGACATGTTTCTGCCACAACATTTTAAATCTGTACTTCTGTAAAATGAGTCTCATTCATTATTTAAACAAACAAACGCACTTGGAGTTCAGTGTCGTAGGAAAATGGGAATAGAGAAATTATGTTCTGTAAAAAGGCATCTACTGAATAAAAAAGTGGATATTTCATGCATTTTAATTAACATCAATGAAAATATTTGCATAAAACCAACTGAAATGAAAGGTTATCTGCAATTAAACCAAACATTTAGAAACATTTTGGTTGAAGTTTGTTCAGTGTTTTTAGTTTCATGGTCTCCTCCTGAGCCTGACTCTCGCCACATCCTTCGCTGAGCTGTGGGGTTTCTCAATGAGAGATGTGTTTTAAAAGGCAGGGTCAAATTGCC